TCCCTGACTATTGTGTTGTGAAGGATCTACAAACGAGGATGATTCTACTGCTATGTATGCTTAAGGACTGGTTGTATCAGTTGAAGTTACCATACCTCAAACCAGAACACCTTACTGCAGAGTCAAACCACCACAATAAGTCTAGCTACCTTACAATGAGATCCAGTAGTGCTGAGTCAACCAAAGTTATCAAAATGTCAGAGTCTGAACTTGATGTTTGACATAGAAGACTAGGCCATCCTTCGAGCCATGTTCTGAATCGAGTTCTTGAGTCATGTAATAAATATACTAAAACTAATGAAATTACAACTTTCTATGAATCATGTAAATTTGGGAAGTCTCATGCTTTACCATTCAATACCTCCTCATCACATGCTTCAAAACCTCCAAACCTTGTGTACACCAATGTCTGGGGACCAGCACCTTTAAATTCCACCTTAGGGTTTGGGTATTATATAATTTTTATGGATGTAGATTTACATGGATATATCCTGTGAAGCACAAATCAGATGCACAAATACCTTCATTCAATTCAAAAAACTAGTGGAAAATAAGTTGGAAAGAAAGATTAAAGCATTACAATCAGATTGGGGAGGAGAGTTCAGGAACTTTGTCAAGATTGCCTTGGAGTCTGATATTGAACTTAGGCACACATGTCCTTTCACCTCTGAACAAAACGGAAGGGCTGAAAGGAAACACTCAAGCCCACATGCCTCTATTTTACTGGTGGGAATCCTTCAAAGTTGCTACTTACGTGATAAACAGACTGCCTACCTTTGTTCTTCAGCACAAATCACCCTTTCAAACATTGTTTGCAAGAAACTTTGATTTCAAATTTTTGAAAACTTTTGGTTGTGCATGCTACCCTTGTCTCAGACCTTATCAAAAGTACAAATTCAGCTTACACTCTCAAAGATGTGTCTTCCTTGGCTATGGTGACTCACATAAAGGTTACACGTGCCTAAATTATACTGGTAGGTTTACATCTCCAGACATGTAGTATTCAATGAGTTAGAGTTTCCCTTCAAAACAGGTTTCATAAACAAACTAACCCCAGCCACAAACCTCTGAAACCATTATGAGTCTTCTTCCTTTTGTTTAGTCCAGTCATAGAACCATTCCTCAAACTACAACTGATACAACTCAGCCCAATTCATCACCTGCTGCAGGATCCTCTGACAGTGAAATGGGAATTGAAGGTGGAGCAGTTATAGAAAATAATGTTGATGATATAAACCAAGAAGAATTAGCTAAATGTGATGTATAAGTCCAACAATATGATACAGAAAATGTAGCAGATAATGTAGACATACAAGGTGAAATTGTGATTTAAAGTATAGGACACCAGATGATTACCAGGAGCAAAGCTGGAATTTTCAAACCAAAAATTTACATAAGCCAGGTACTAGACGAATTGGCAGAAACCGAACCATTGAATACTGATGAAGCACTGCTAAATGATCACTGGAGAAAGGCTATACAAGAAGAGTACTAATGAGGTAGTATACATGGATCAGCCACAAGGATTTGTGGATGAGAAAAATCCTAGATTTATTTGCAAATTGAGAAAGGCTCTATATGGATTAAGGCAAGCCCCAAGAGCATGGCATGAAAGGCTGAAGAGTAGCTTGTTAGAATGGAAGTTCAGACAGTCCAAAGCAGACAATTCTCTATTCTTCCTGGCAAATGAAAGAGATGTGCTATTTGCACTAATATAAGTGGATGATATAGTGATTACAGGTAACAACAATCAACAGTTGCAAGAGTTCATTGATAAACTAAACACCAGCTTTGCACTTAAGGATATGGGAAGTCTCAATGAGTTCCTAGGAATTGAGGTACGTAGATATGCAACTGGATTGTACTTAACTCAAAGGATGTATGCTATGGACCTACTCAGAAAGTTTGGCTATGATAACTTGAAACCAAGTCTAACACCCATGGTAGTAGGCAAACTAATTTCCAAGACTGATGGAGAAGCTATGAGGAACCTAACATTGTACATAAGTGCAATCAGTGGCCTTCAAAGGCCAGATATCACCTATGCTGTAAATAAGCTCAGTGAATTCCTTCAAACGCCCATGGATGCTCACTGGAAGGCACTTAAAAGGGTGTTTAGATACCTAAAGGGAACACTAAGTCATGGCCTCGCTATTCAAAAGAGTGATAGTCTTGACATTATAGTGTTTGCTCATTCTGACTAGGCCTCATGTCCAGACGATAGGAAATCAACTGCAGGCTATTGTGTATACACTGGAGATAGTCCGGTGTCATGGTGCTCTAAGAAACAGCATGTCATTGCCAGGTCAAGCACTAAGGCTGAGTACAGAGCATTACATGGATTCAATCCCTGATGAGTGAGTTAGAAATACCACAAAGATCAGTTCCAAGAATTTGGTGTGATAATTTGAGTGCAAGTGCATTAGCTTCGAATCCTGTTTATCATGCTCACATCAAACATATAGAATTGGATGTTCATTTTGTAAGGGACAAGGTGCTAAGAGGAGAGTTGGAAATACATTATGTTCCGTCATCAGATCAGACAGCAGATCTATTGACAAAACCACTTGCTCATTTGAGGTTCTTGTTCCTTGGAGACAAGCTTGGAGTGATAGAAACTCACTCCACCTTGAGGGGGGAGTTAAAATATGCCTACCAACGTGAATGTGCAGAGAACCAG